GAACCACTCTTTATACAAGATGAATTTTCTGTCCTTTTCCTTTTCTGATTTCGGGAGCTACCAGTAGCTCCACCCTTTCTGGTGTGAGCCTTGCTCGTTGATGGCAATTGTGCAGACTTCAACTGCTGTTCTTGCTCTAAGTGTCTTTTCTTAGATTTAGAATGTGGCTTGTTTGTTTCTGAGGAAGTTTCAGCGTGCTGAAGTGCTTTGGGTTTTTTAGCAGAGCTAGGTGAATTGGTCCTGCTGTAATCTGGACTAGCACTGCGTTTCACTCCTCGAGAATTGTCTTTCTTAGGCACCTGCCCCGTTTTTTGTCTTTCTGAAGTATTAACTCTGTCTGGGTCTTCTTGTTGTGGTATTATAACAGTAGATGAACTACAGCCTCTGCGGGAGGTAAGCAGAACAGCATTAATACAATAAAAAATTTAAAAGCTTCAAATTTATTATAACAATTTTTGAAGGAATAAACACAGAGAAATTACTGGTATTCAAAAACTATACAAATAAAACTAATTCTTGTAATTTAATATGCTTACACCAAACAAGAAAAAAAAACCCACAAAAACATGACGATCAAAACAGTTAGCTGAAGATGTCAACAAACTTTGCTAGAATGAAAGAATTAAAATAAAATGCAAAATAAAAGGATAGGACACTGTCAGGTATGACATTTTGGAAGGATGTTATGAGATTATTTGGGATTAAAAAAATAAAAATAAAAGCACAAAATTTGCCATTTTGTTTCATAACCTATTGAACTGGCAACAACTGAGTCCTAAATCATTAAACTGGCATAAATATTTCAAAATACTGGTGCAGAAAATGCAAGGAATATTCAGTAAAGCATAACTAGTCACAACTGGATTTCAGTTACGAAAAATGTTATAAAAGTGTTATTAATGAAATAAAAGTAATTAATCAAGCCAAAATAGGATTTAAGCATGTTTTAGTTTGGTTTAAGAAGCAGGACAGAAACAGCAAGTAAGATGTCACCAAGGTTACAAACCTGAAAACAAGCCAATCATTTCTGGTTTGGTTATATATAAAAACACAGCTCAAAATTGCTGGGGAGATTTCTCTTGCCTAATAGAAGTGAAGGTTCCACATGTAATCCAAGACTAGTTATGCAAAATTTGTTTCCGCCCCATCACTAATGAAATGCTTCCAATGTGTGACGTTTAAAAGCATGACACATGAACATGTCAGATACCAAATTATATTAGCTGAACACTAGTAAAACTAGTTGTCAGACATTTTATAGCAACCTGGTATTAAAGTACTATAAAGACTTTAAGTGGAAATTATACTTGTTAAGATATGAATATGAAGCACAGTTACCTTTTAGGAAAGTGTCCCTTGGACTGCTCAGAAGTAGTATTAGACTGTACTTTGGGTGCCTTTGAAATAGACTTTCTATTCTCAGGAGGGCTATGTGCCTTATGTTTTGCCTGCCCTAAATGTGACCTGTCAGCAGAAAGTCAAAACAGAAAGCTATCAGGAGTCTGAGATGCAGATACAAACCTGTAGGTGGAGGGCTTTTTGTTTGTTTGTATACTTTATCAGATATTACTTCAAAAACTTTCACATCAAACTTAACTGGTTAAGACAACACTTCAGAAAGATAAGCTTATTGTAATGGTTTACAAAACAATTACATTGGGTAGTGGTTTGTAACCCAGCCATTATTTAGACATCTTTAATAAATCAGACAATGAATGAGTCTCAAATCAATAGTTAACTGTGCAGATAAACTTCAAATTTAATCTGGAGTGCGATCATGTTGAATCTTCAATCACTGAGTTAATAATTAAAAAACCCAATACTAGCATGTAAGGCACAGAATTATAGCACCTGTCCACATTATGTCCCCTTTTTAAGGGACACATACCTAACAGCCTTAAATATTTCCATATATCAGGAGTTAATCCAGCCGGGGATGCTTACAAGTTCACCTCTTTCCCATTCAGTTTTACTGAACTGGACATTCATACTTAGAAGGGGAAAATAAATGTTTCGAGTCTGCAGGAAGTCAAGGATGGCTGATATTTGTTTCTGCAATTCTATCAATTCAATGGAGCAGGATCTGCTTAGTAAAATTAGAGTTAGTGAGACAAAGATATAAATAAAGGTAGCCGAATGAGACAGGGGACCTGTTACCAAAGAAAGGAAAGAATTTCATCTAGAACAGTTCTTCTAAGAAACTTTCAGCTGCACAAGAGAACTCTGACTTGAGGCAAAGGAACACTCACTACTAGTAATTTAAGTTTAGCTTTAAAAAACTTCACATTTCTTAAATATAAATCTTTGTCCAAACAATATAAAGACACCTAATGAACCTTACCACCTGCAAAACCCAGGAAAAAGATATTAACAGCCCCTCAACATTTAAATAGTATAAGAACAACTTCTAATAGGACAGACACATTAGTAAATGAAGTACTCTAGATGAAAAATATGTATTAACTTTCACCTTCCTTAGAAGTTACTACTTGGACTTGGAGACAGACCCCATTGTGAATTGTATCCAAGACACACTATGCTTTAGGAAAGGCAAGCAATTTTGCAGCTATTACTTGCTTCCTTTCAGTAATGTAGGAGTTATTCAAGGAACATGACACGTCTGTCATCCAAGAATCGGTATCTTCACATGCTATTAACCAAGCAGGCTTGAGCGCTGAGAAGGTGCAGCACACAAAGGTATGGTGAGGTGATGAAAGGTTAGCAAAATATTGAATAGAATTCTTTAAATACAAATTTTTCCACATACAACTGAATAGAAATTAAAAAATGGTTTTGGCATATCTGACAAACAAAATACTTCATTTCAGGTTACCCTATCTTTTTAAAAATGTTAAAGTGTTTGGAATTAAGAAATAAAAAAAAAAAAAAAAACTCACACTACACATGCACGGACAAGTACACACACACACACACACGCCCCCCACCTACACCCTCCCACGAAAGATGTTTTAAACTCCTAACTCCCTCTACTTTTCACAGCAACACTATTTCCAGTTTTCATAAGTAGCCTTACTTTTAACCCTTTCCTAAATTTATTTTTGACAAATATACTTTTCACCAAAAAAGGCTTCACTAAGCTTTGAGTGCATACAGCTTTCAGGGGAACCATCTCTGTGAATTAAAAACTGTTGAAAGTAACTAATCACACGCTAGCAGATTTGTTGTCCTCAGTTTTATAGTAGTGGGAGGAAGGTACACAACCGCATTTCTTTTCATGTTCCTTCATGCGCTTCACCGATTAACTTGCAGTAACATTGATTAGTGGAGCATTACATTTACAGAATTATAGATCCTTATATAGATTTATTCTAGATGTTTACATAGCTCCTTGCTAGAAAAGGATTCCTCCCTCAGAAATAAGTGTTTGCCCTTGTGAAGGTATTTTCCTTCAGTCATCTAATCAAAAGAGAAATGCAACATAATGCTAATCTCACAAAAGTCATCCTCCAGTAAGTTAATAAAAACAAAGCTTCACACCTTAGCTACTTAGCATTATCCTTTCATTCTACAAGAGTTCCCTTTTTACTCTTAGCCCAAGTCTGTAGTAAGTATAGAAAATCAAAAATCCTGAGGCTGAACTGATTCAGTCTTTGCAGTTTAGTCTAGCACCCTGCTTGAACCAATAACCAAAATGAACAGACATTCACTTGTGATTCAGGAAATGCAGCCACATGCCTACAGTAGCTCAAGCCAGAACCCAGAGGGCACTAGAGCATGGCTCTCCAACGCATAGCCAGCATGGGCTGTGTGTGTGTTCACTTCCTATTCCTAGTGACCCGGAGGTTTCTAGAATTCACAATCCAGAATCACAGCAGCAAGATTCTGCAGAGTTGCTTATCACTTCCTCTTCCTGCTTCCAAGTGCCTCTGGGATTTGTAGTCCATGGTCACAGCCAGCACTAAGTACGCAGGGCAGGGCAGGGCAGCTCTGTACTCGAGGGAGGGGAAGTTCAACCCCCTCCCTGTCCCCTGGCCCCAGACCCCAGCAGGGGTTTGCCCAGGGGTGGGCCAATGAGCCGGCCAGTGAGACCAATGAGCCAGCCCTCACTGCTCCAGCTAGGGAGCAGAGGGGTGGGGCCAGCCCTGCTCTCTGGAACAGACAGGACAGCACAGCACAGCCCAACACAGCCCAGTCCAGGGCTACAAAATGCTGGGATGCTGGGGGGCTATGATTTAACTTGAACCAAGAAGGGGTCTGAGACAGAAGTTTTATGAACCAGGTTGACCCAAACCAGTTAAGTCTGATGGTAGTTCAACCAGGTTTATCTTAAACCAGTTTCAGCCATTTTGAAACTGGTTTATGTGCACTGAACTTCTGTTACATGTTTAAACCAGTTTCTGATCACTTAAACCAGTGTGCGCGCAACTTCTGTCCCTAGCCTTAATTTATGTCAAACCTTTGATCTCACAGGAGGGAACTACGGGAGCCTCCAAACCAGGGGCAACACGTAAGGGGTGCATGCAGGTGCACATGCACCCCCTGCAAAAAAGAGCTGCCAACATTGTCAGCAACGCCTGCAGGTGGTCGCCACTCACCACTGGCACTGCCAGGGGCATCTGCAGGCGGTCCCCGATTGCCCCTGGCACTGCCAATGCTTTTGGCAGCACCTGTGGGTGGTTGCCCACCTGTGGTAGGCACTTGCCACCCTCCCCCAAAAACAGTGCTGGAGGTGTCTGCAGAAGCTCCCAGCTCAACACCATCGCTGGCATGCTCATGCCTCCACCAGTGCAGCTGTGCACCCCTAGCCGCCAGGGGCATGCACTGTTCATGCTCCAAACTAACCTTAAGAAGAGTGCTTTCTGTATGACAAAGTGATGTTTAGGCAAGAGTGCCAAAGGGAAAACGTAATAAAATTTTTGGAAGCTATAATTCCACAACAATCAAAATAAAAATATATAGAACATAAGCTAGTATGATCTAGAACTGTATCTGTTAAGTCCCAAATTATCAAATAATTAACCATTTAGTCTCATGTTTAAAGCAAGGCTTAAAGGTGTGACAGTTACTGCTCAACTTGCAGAAGTTTTTTGGTATTTAGACTGGATTAATCATGATTTAAAAGTTCTTTCTGGTATTCTAATGATAATATTTTGTTTTATTATAAGAAGGTAACAAGGTGGTCTTTAAAATTAATTTAGTTCAGAGATCCAAACATAAAGAGATTGGTCCTGTATCAGAAATTATATAAGCACAATTTCAGCAAGGTTAGAACACGTAAACTCTTAACCTAAAGAATAAGATGCAAAAATTGAAGAAATTGTTTTAAAACAATACATGTAATTTTTAACTTACATCAACTAGGAAAAAAGGCTCATCATGATTTAATGATAAATTCCACAAAAATGCATACGTTTAGTTAAACAAGTATTGTTAACTGGACAGTATTTATTTTGCATTTTCTATTCCTTACTTGCAGTTACTAACCCCATTTACACACCCCAGAACTGAAGCAAAAAAAAGTTACCCTGGACAATCCAAAACATGGAGAACAACTTTTGCAAGCATTTCCGCTATATGCATTTAAGTGTATACCACAGCATGTGTGGCATAGTACAGCTGGTGAGGTGAAGGGAAGGTCAGGATGCTAGCAGAGCATATGACTGGAGGGGCCTGTGGTCTACATTATAGCGGCCTGTAGAGCATACAACCTTGACTGGTGCAGTCCTGGGGCGGAGGAGGCTTATGGCCCCCAGGCACTTCAGAGTTGGACAGTCTTGCCTTAAAATACCAACACAGAGCACCGCAAGGAAGAAATAAAAAGTTTGCATACTGACTGAAATACAGCTGTCCCACTTTTCAACAACTTTTAACAGTTTCCAAAATCCTATATAGAGAAGTTACCTTGACAAAAATGCTCTCACCAATTTCCTGACTTACGAGACTGAAAAACAGGCCATAAGAAAAGTGACTCTGGGTCAGAACAGTTATGAAACATATCATGGCTCACAGTCTGTGGTTTCCCCAGAGAAGGACCCTTTTAAAGTAGAGGTGCACAGATGCATCGGTCCGATATCAGATCAGCACCAGTACAAAGAAAATTGACTGCATCAGAAACCAGCCTGACGTGGCTAATAAATGCCTGTGCATGCGCGCAGCCTCAGCACAGCATGTAGGCAGTGAGAAGCACAGCCCAGCAGCTTGGAGAGCTGCCTGCAACTGCTAAGTCTGTTGTGGTGGAAGGGGCATGGGGAAGAAAGGAGCGTGGGGAGGGAAAGGAGAGATCAAGGTCCCTGTGTGATGGAGGGGCTGGGGCACGAGACAGTCGCAGCTTGTCCAGGGGGGCAGCTCCTGACACTGTGTGCACCCCTGGAAAGCATGGGGGGGCAAGCATGTGACCCTAGATCTGCACAGGCTGGCCCTGCAGGCTGGGGCTGCACTGGGCTCTTCCTGGCATGGTGGGGGGTGTTGGGTCTGCACTCAGGGCAGGCAGTGGCAGCCCTGGG